TGAATGGTAGATGCATAACATAGGCAACCAAAAGCACGTAAGGTAGTAAAATCAGGGGAATGTCCAAACAGGACTTCAAAAGGAGTTTTATTTTGCAAGATTGGGGTAGGGGTACGATTGATAAGATAAGTAGCAGTTAAAACACAATCGCCCCAAAATTTTAGGGGTAGTCCTGCTTGAAAGCGCAGAGCACGTGCCACATTAAGAAGATGACGGTGCTTGCATTCAACAACCCCATTTTGTTGGGGTGTGCTAGGACAACTGGATTGTTGCAAAATTCCATATTGAAGTAAGATATTTTGAAAATCAATTTTTGTGAACTCAGAACCATTGTCAGATCGAAAAGTTTTAACACATGTATTAAAATGATTCTTAACATATGCTAAGAAACGAACAAGCAACAAAAAAACATCAGATTTGTATTTCATCATAAAAATCCAAGTAGCTCTAGAATAATCATCAACGATAGTTAAAAAATAATGATGTCCAGTCCGGGTAGGAATAGAATACTTACCCCAAATGTCAACATGAATTAAATCAAAACAAGCATTAGTTGAAGTATGACTTATAGGAAAAGATAAACGTGTTTGTTTGGACATATGACAAATATCACAAGGATCTTTAAAATCAGAACAACCTAATGTAGAAATTAAATATTTAAAAACTGAATGAGATGGGTGGCCAAAACGAGAATGCCATGTATTAGGAGTGATGGTGGTTAATGCAGTGGATTGCGGTGTATCACTAAAGAAATATAAGTCATTGCGTTCATGGCCCCGACCAATCTCCATCTTCGTGGAAAGGTCCTGAAACACACAATAATTAGGAAAGAAAATGACAGTGCAATTTGAATCTTTTGCTAATTTTTGCACAGATAGCAAGTTAAATTTAAATGTAGGGACATATAAAACATCAGTAAGATTAATATTCGGGGATATACGAGCTTGTCCAATACCACATACAGGAATTGCATTACCAGTAGGAACAGATATATTTTTGACAATATTATTATATTTAGGCAATTCAGTAAAAATAGAGAGATTAAAACAAACATGATCAGTAACACCTGTGTCAATAACCCATTCATTTGAAATATTGAAAATAGATGTTAAAGCTATGGACTTACCAACGAGATTTGCCTTTGGCTCCTTTACCTCTTGTAGCAATCGGAGTAATTGTTGAAGTGAGTCGGAAGGAATGGACAAGGGTGACTGCGGCGGTACATGTTGACTATTAGTATTTCCTTTTTTGTAGAATTTGTGCCCGGGAGGATACCCATGAAGTTTGTAGCAAACTTGTTGTGTATGACCAAGTGTCCCACAATGAGCACACCGGGGTCGTGGTCGATTGTTACCTGGACGATATGTGGAGGATGATGCATGTGCCTTGTTTGTAGAAGATTGGTTGGCAGCGGCAGTAAACTGAGGCGTAGAGGATGTATGAGATTGCAACGGGGCTGGTGCATCAATGTCAATTCGGGCAGCCTGAAGAGCCGAATGATCCACTACATGTCCGTAACTTTCGCTCTGTACACGTTGTGATTCATCTTGCAACAACAATGAGTAAGCATTTTTAACAGTAGGAAGTGTACCATTAAGCAATAGTTGACTCCGTGGTTGAGCAAAAGTGTCTCGAAGGCCCATGAGAAATTGCATCAGTCGGCGACGCTCCATTTGTGCAATGTATTCCTGGCGAGCAGAGCACGAACATTTGGGTGGAGGATCCAATAGGTTTAATTCGTCCCAAAGTGCACTCAAATGATTATGGTAGTCTTCTATGGATGCATCACGCTGGGAAAAAGTGGCTATGCGCTTTTCAATTTCATAGATGCGAGGTCCATTCGCGGTAGAAAATCGTTCCTGTAAATCTTTCCATGCAGAGGCAGCATCGGTGGCATATAGGACTGTGTTAGCCAGGGATGAGTGTATTGAATTGAGGATCCATGACATCACCATGTTGTTCACCCGATGCCAACGAGCGTAATCGGGATGTGCAACATCTGCATAGGAAAGGACCCGTCAACAAAACAAAATTTATTGCGTCCTTTAAGGGCCATTGTCATCGCTCGTGCCCAAGGATTGTAGTTATCAATGCCGGTGAGAACATTGCCAACGAGCGTGGTACCCGTACCATCAGAAGAGTAGAGGTAATATGGATTTCCGGCATCGAAAGGAACGATAAAGGATTGTCGCTGAATGGTATAACCTTGACCAGTGTTGATGGTGGATTCGTTTGGATTAGTGGATGCATGGAGAGGGTCTGTAGGTGTTATTGTAGCCATATTTTGGATACTGTAATGAAGAGCCAAAAGAAAAGCATCAAAGATGAAGAAGCATTGAGCAATAGAAACCTTCTGATACCATGTAAGCTTTGTTATGTACGCATGAATACATGGAAGAGTGAGAATAATATATTAAGTATGTATATTTGCTTGCAGTGAATTGAGGAGTACATAGCATATATACAAGATGATGTTAACGGTAAAATAAATAGAAAAGGTAAGAATAAATAAAATATAGATATTTACCTAAAGAATATACTAATAGTTTGGAAATAATATAACTAAATATACATATAATTGATATAGCAAATATTCTTCTACAATATTCATTTGGAGACCTGAGGGTCTTTGTGTGCAATCCAGGCTTACGGACAAACTAGGCTCTGGACGGAACCTCTCAATTTCACAATTTTAACGCCGCACACACATTGCTACTGTCTTCCATGGCTTCCGGCGCAGATGCAGCGACGACGTTCATGGCATATGTCCTTTAAAACTATATACTTGTATCTAATTTCAATTTATTAGAAAAAAAAAAAAAAAAAAAAAAAAAAAAACAAACAAACAAACACAACTTCTTCGACGGGGAAGGAATGGTCTACTCATATCACCATCACCGTGGCACAGAAACTCCGGTGTGTGATCGTCGCCGTCGATAGTAACTAGTAGACCCGGCGCCATCGCCAACATCAAGCTCCAGTCCTCCGCCACCGAGGAAAACGACTGTTTCGTCATCCTTCGCGTTCAATCTCCGCCGTCAATCGGCACCGGCATCAAACCCGGCGCCATCCCTTTCGGTGGACCCAGTTAAGCTGCTACACTTTAACTTAATTTGGTCGCCGTCGATTGCAGCGATATATAAAAATCTTTAAAGTTAAAACACCGCATGCGTACATCTACATATTAACTATTAATTTGAACAATTACTTGCTCAAATTCAAGCAATAATAATATCAATGAACATAAACAATCCAAATCATATCTTCAATTGCACTATATAGTACTCCGTATTTGATGTTATAATTTAAATAATTGTATATCGATCCAATTAAGATGCTCGATGAGACTTTTGAATCACTCAAACCAAGCATTAAGATGCTCAAGTCGAGTATAGCAATCTTAAATTTGGCTCGACTCGTGCTACTCGATTGATCGAGCAACTATACAAAAGTATGTATGTAGCCAGTTAGTACTATTGAAGGTAATAAGAAAAGTGTAGAATACATTGAAATATACTAATAAGTACATGAAACTATACATACTCTGCAGAAAATATATGAAAACCATATAAATTAGAGAAACATATCATTATATTTTTAAGTATAGTACCACAACATAGCGTATATTTTAGACTAGTCTTTTAGAATTGCTATTGTTGATTAAAAATTTTTGTATTTGACATTAGCATAAAATTCAGTAGGCAAATGTTGCCCAAGGAAATACATGCATTATTTGTCGTATTTGGTATACAAAACAGCAGGGTTATATTCATTGCAAGTTTTTGTTAAGTATTGGACGACAAGGAGAATTCAACACAATAGTGTTAGACAGACTGGGGCCGAGCCAGGATTAGATGGTGTGGGAGGTCAATTATGATTTAAGAGTAAATAATTAAATAAATTAATATTTATTTAACATATTTTAATATATATTATTACATTACAAATATACTAAAACTGAGTCCTTCTTCTTTGACATGAAAATTGAAGCATGTGTTCAATCTCAACTAAAAACCTAAGCTGATAGTTGGATTGCACATTAATGGCGATATGCTCAACACGCCTCATCACGTGTGCGGTGGGTTCCAAGCAACACGTGGACCATAGTTGCTTATAGGTGGGCATGTGCTCCATCTCAACTAAAAGTCTAAGCTGATAGTTAATTGAATGGCACATTAATGGCTATATGCTCAACAATGGAAGACCGAAGTCACCATTAATTACTGCAGTTATTCATAGAATGCTGCTTGAAGAAAAATGAAAATATATCATACCAGTAATTCATCAAAAGATTGCTTCAAAGATATATTTAAAAAAAATGATCAAGTTATTCTTGGAAGAAGATAAAAATTGATATTGTGAAAAACCTAGAAATTTAATTAGTCTGCAAGATTATTTGGGAGGGACCAAATATTTTGAGGAGAGAAGACACCAAAAATAAGTATTATACTAATAAAAAAAAATGGAGGGGGAGGGGGGCCAGGGCCCGGCCGCCATGCAAGTGGCTCCGCCCCTTGTGTTTGCCAACTTAGTTGAAGTTGAAAACTATGCACTACATTAGTAGTTGAAAACAATTGAGAAACAAAAATGGTGATTTTTCCTCTTTTTTTGTGTGTGTGTAATTTATATTTATATATAGTATATAATATATATTGCCTTATTATTTAGAGTAAAAACTCTTAAACTCCATTAATTGAAATTAAACCCTAGTTGTCACTCAACAATTCCGATCAAAATCATGGAAGTATATATGTTAGCTAGATTGGATATTCGATCTAATTTGTTATATTGATTAAATTTTGTATTAATTAAAGCACAATAGGAGACGATACTAATATGCAAATACTGTAAAGAAATTGATCGTCACAGCATGGCTGGCATGCATGTTACAAAAAAACAAGAAAATTCTAAAATATTTTGAAATCAAACCCTACCTTTATTTAAGTTGTACCTACTTCAATTTTTATCTATTATATTTTTTTAAAAAAAAAATATGATCTTCAAGTGCGCTTGAAATTCACAATATTCATCGGCGCCCGACAATCATAAGTACGAAATTCAATGCCCTGAACAATAATCGTTCCCAACCCGAAGTGAGGTGGAAACTGGGCAATTGAAAACGACATTTGCAATTCTGCGGGGACACTTGGGAGAATATTCCTTCCAACATTGAAAAACGTCCCAAGTTCAACTTCCGACCACCCGTCAGATCTACGCCCCCGATCATTGCCAAAACCAACAACAGGGAAAACTCTTTCCCGGACAACTTCTCTGCTTTCATCATCAATGAATAATCTAGAAACCACTACTGCTGGAAGGACATCATCCTCAGATAGCGGAGACATTACCAAATGGCAGGAGTAAAGTGTTTCTTCCGACAACATTTGACGACACACTTTTCCGGAAATGCCATACAATTCCAACTCGCCGCCATTAAAGTGTAGACTAGCCATCTCAGTAAACCTTAATTCATTTCAAACACAAAAAGCTAAATAAGGCCGAGTAAATGAAAGTTAACCAAGAATAATAATAATATAACAATAATGAAAATAATCAATCTATCATCAATCAAACATGTTAAAAACCTGGACACTACTCCCTCAGGAACTCTCATAAAGCCACTTGTGTGGTGCAGCCCGGTGAACGTTAGTTCCTGAGCAGAAACCATAAAACATTTCTTCCCAGTTTTCTTCTCAAGCCAAAAGCTCTGTTACGTTGTCACCCAAATCAAAAAATAAAAAATCAATTCCCTTAAAACAGATTAATAAATGGTTTTTAATTTAATCCGCGTATGTATGTACCAGTTTTCCTCCATCGAGGAGGATAGGAGAATCAGAGAGACTAAGATAAAGGTCCTTCTTTGTGGGAAAAACTGGGATAGAAGATGATGATCTTGAGAGGATCTGTTGAATATCAGAGGGCAACAACTTGTTCCAAACAGTATCCGATTCAGACGTGGTCTTGAAGCGTTTGGAGATGACAGAAAATACAGAAGCGTCGACTGGGGAAGTGAAGGAAATAATGTCAGATATGCAATTGTCTGCCAACTTCTCCATTCTCTTTAATTTGCAACTTCACAAATGCAAATCGCAAAGTATAGTGTAGCCACCTTAGCAATATAATATACGGATCGAGCTATATATATAGAGTCCCTTTTTATATTTTGAAAAACTGTAAGATAGATTTCATAAATTCTAATTAAATTGTTTTGCAAATTCTTTTTTCACAATTAGAAATATAAGATTTTTAACCATATAAGTAATTTGGTAATTATGAATATAAGATTTTTAACTATATAAGTAATTTTGATAATTATGAAGTTATTTTTATTCCAAACATAGTAAGAGAGTATTTTGGTATCATTTTACCCGTCATTTTTTATTATTCATTAATTAAATCAGCTATTTTTTATTTTCTTATTTTCTTTAGTATTTTTTTACTTATTTTTAAATTTAGTTTTGGGTGTTTAATAGAGTTTTTAATATAGTTTTAAAATATATAAATTATGAATATTATGAAAAATTGAATTAAAATAATTTTAGTCAAGTCTCGTTAACAGAATCAAACACATAAAATAGAAAGAGGGAGTATATAATTTATAATAGGGAAAATGACATTTTTAGTCTCTCAATTGTGCCACAATGTTAAACCCGCTCATTTAAGAATAAATTACACTTTTGGTCATATGATCACTATAGCGGGTGTGTTAATTTCAGTACTTGACTTTAAAAACTAACAATTTAGTCCCGTAACTATACAATTGTTAACACATTTGGTCCTCCCGCCAAATTACCGGTGAAATTTGACCGTAAAAATATAAACTATTTTTAATTATTTAATTATAGGGACAAATTTTTCATTTCAGCTATTCCTTCTTCTTCCCTCCTCCCTTCTTCTTCGTTCTTCTTCTCCCTTCTTCCACAGAGTTGCAGCGATAGCCAACATTGCAGCGATATCCAATTCCAATTTATTTGGAAAAAACAAAAACAACTTCTTCGACGGAGAAAGAATAGTCCACTTATATCACCATCACCGTGGCACAAAAACTCCGGTGTGTGATCGTCACCATCGATAGCAGCGAGGAAACCCGTCGCCATCGCCAACTTCAAGCGCCAGTCCTCCGCCCCCGAGGAAAACGACTGCTTGGTCATCCTTCACGTTCAATCTCCGCCATCAATCGGCACCGGCATCAAACCTGGCGCCATCCCTTTCGGTGGTCCCAGTTAAGCTGCTTCACTTTAACTTAATTTGGTTGCCGTCGATTGCAGCGATATATAACAATTTTTAAAGTTACAACACCGCATGCGTACATCTACATATTAACTATTAATTTGAACAATTACTTGCTCAAATTCAAGCAATGATAACATCAATGAACATAAACAATCCAAACCATATCTTCAATTGCACTATATAGTACTCCGTATTTGATGTTATAATTTAAATAATTGTATATCGATCCAAATATTATTAATATATTATAATAAATCTATTCCGTGCATCGCACATGTGAAAATATTAGTTATATATAAAAGTATAACTCAAATTTTCTAAAACGGACACTAGTACAGATTTGCATATCCGCTACCCTTGTAAAGGGTTATTCGCTACCTTTGTACAAGGGTAGCGGATACTAGGGTCGCTGAAAACCCTGAGCTTTCCACTACCCTTTAAAAGGGTAGCGGAAAGTTAAGCATTCGCTACCCTTCTCTAAACAGAAAGGTTGCGGATTTTTTTTTTAATTAAAAAAAATTATTATTATATTTAAATTTCCTAATTTTTTAAAAAATCCTATACGGAATTCATACACTACCTATCAGCATAATATTAACCATCAACACAATATTATCAACAAACCATCAAAACACAATATTATCAACAAACTATATTATAAATACAATATTATCAATACACAAGCTCATACATGCTGATGGATATGGCGTTAATCCTTGATGAGTATACCTGCCTAACTTTCTGTCTTTGATATTTATATGAGCTAATAACTGGATGAACTTGAAAAGTTACATTGCGATGTCTCCAAGCTTCTTCTAATGCCCCCCACCATATCTTTTGGCATGGCAATAGTGTATGTTACCACATCAAAGTCTGGGACCTATCAAGGTAATGATCTATTATCAGTAAATTTGCGATTGAAGCTGAAATGATAAAGCATTTGCATAATGACCTAAGAAAGAACTGATCAAGAAAGTCTATTGAACAAAATAAAACTCCATAAAAATTTGCACCTACATTATTTGTCTTACCTTTAAATGTTTTGATCTGGCTTTCTTTGATAGTGCCCTTATGCAAATGCAAACTTTCCGAAAATTTCTTTTTTCAACAACATCTGATGGGGAGAAGAAATCGATACCATTCAATCCCAAAATTTTGCAGATCTACACGAACAGGAGAACTAGTAACCTTCACCACCACAACTTATTATCATTGAAAGATTAAAGTGAAAAAGAGTCATTTACTTTCATGCTACTATGAATAACAAACTCAATCTGCTTAAAGTTTTGAAAAAAAAAAAAAAAAAAAAAAAAAAAAAAAAAAAAACTCAATCTGCTTAAATGGTCAAGGTCACATACTATTAATCAGTGGATTTCCTTATAATATTCAAGAAAGGAATCAGAAGCAGAATGGTGTGCAGGCCTAAGCCATTGTCAAAACTCTAAAGGACTCAGAAAGTGAATATGCAGATACGTAAAATCAATACCATACATTATATAACTCCCATAAAATAAACATGGTTCATACAAACTCTTTAGACTTTATGTGGGTAGAAAGGATTGGGGAGAAAATGAAATGGAAAATTTTTAAGTTTCTCTTGTTTGGATGAGTGAAAATGTCAGTAAAACATTATAAGGAGAAAGAATTCCATATCCTATCAAATATTCATTCCTTTCTCAACACACTCCACGTGAAAATTCTTCCCTCTCAATACACTTCTCTCTCCCTTTCTCATTTTCCACTTTCTCATCCAAACACTGCATTTTCTATTTATTTCCTTTTATCCCATTTCTTTCCCCTCACTCTCTATCCATCCGAATACAAAATAAGGTAAAATAATACTAGATGGACTACAATGAATCTCTCCGTAAAACAAAATGAGGGAAAATTATGATCAGGAAATTGCTTGTTCTGACAGCAAGAGAATAAATTAAACTCACCAGTGCAATATATTCCTCACAAAACAAGAAACAATGTTGAGTAAAAAGTGAAATTATGGAGCATGAACATAATCAAAAGAATGCCAGGACTCATCAAATAATCAGTATTAGGACTAGTATTAGGTTTGAGTCACTTTATGACTCCCAATCCCAGTCCTATAATTCCTCTGGTATATTTCTCCTGTCCGTACAATTGTTATCACAGTTCATTCAACACAATTTAATTCAGTTCTCATCATCAGTACTATGAGATTAAACAATAACAACTACAACCTCAGTCATCTACTAAGTAAAACTCTTTCTTCCATTCCCAATTCCAATTCCAATCATCTATGAGTAAATTCAGGAAATCCATAAAGCACCAAAAAAAAAAAAATCCATTTTTACTCACCTGAGTTGCTTACAGGACCATCAGGTGCATTGATGAAGTCAACCAAAAATTTCTCCATAACATCAGCATTGTAATCCAGCTTAGGCCTATCAGAGTATCCCAAACCTGGCCAATCTACAATGGTAGCCCTGTAACCAGCTGCCCCATCTCGCCCTACAATGTCTTTGGCGACGGACCTCCATTCCTCCACCGTGCTAACATCAGAAATAGTTGGTATCATCAGAATATTCTGGGAAGACCCATCTTTCTCCTCCGTTTCATGCGCCTCATAATATATATTCACCGGAGTTCTCCTTATACTTCCATTGCCAAGTACTATTCTGCAAGAAAAACGCAGGGTTAAATTGGATTACAATGATTGGATTTTTTAAAAAAATTCAAAATAAAAATTATACGAAGTAAAAATTAACAAATATAATATTTATTACAATGATAATTATAAAAAATTATAATCTTACTCTATATAATAGCAAAATGTTTTTGCCGCCACATCATTTTCCCGTCTAAATAATAAGGCGTCGTTTGGACTGTTTTTAATTTTCATATTTATGAACTCATTGGATGACTACTATTGCAACTTTCCATGTGTATTAATTGTTTTAACATTTGTTCAAATTTATTATTAGAACCTTTGGAATCCGCACAGCCGCAGGGGTGGCTTATCATACGTACAGTGATCATTTTTAGATCTGTGTATCCGTTGGATGACTACTATTGCAACTTTTAATGTGTATTAATTGTTTTAACATTTGTTCGAATGTATTATTATAACCTTTGGAATCCGCACAGCCACATGAATTGTTTATCATATGTACAGTGATCATTTTGAAAAAAAAAATTAATATAATAACATTGACTCAAGATATATAGATACCAGAATAACATACACACGTATTCAATGAATTGGCATATATAAAATAAAAATAAAAAATGTAATAATATAGTCAGTTTTTTCCAATACTAATTGCAGAATATGTATAGTCCCACTTTTGAAATGCCCCTTGAAAATTGTTCAATATTGTTCAATATTCTAATCAAATTAATAACAAAGCATTAATGGAGAGGCACAATTGCTACTCAAAAAAATATAATAGTATAAATATGCACTAATCCGAGAGTGTTCTTCACCATTGAAACTTTCTGCAAAAATGCTTTTCCAATACTGTCTTGCATCTCAGGTTAGCCCTATGCACACTCGGAGAGCAATCCGGGTGCGTTTGGTGAGAACTTATATAATTCACAATCTTATTTAATTATTATTATATCTTATCTTATATATAATGATATAATGATATATTTAACATTATATAATATTCTAAAAATATTAATATGTTATTGTGAGAATATTAACATACTTTAATGATACAAGGTTTATTGTTATAAAGTTGACTGATCATGTTTTGGAAGCTCAAATCATGTCTGGAACGAGTGTATGAACAAAAGTTTTAATTCCTCGAATGTCGTTAACACCTTCTGATTCAAGATTTTTGTTTCAAGTTCGAAAGAAAGCAATTCTTTTTTATACTATCATATGCTATGACAATAAATAAAAGTTAATGGCAAACATTATCACACGTGGATTTGTTTTTTAATTAGAAAGTCAATCTTTAATTATGGTGTATCATTTGCAGTCTCAAGAGTTAGTAATCCTAGGGGATTAAAATTTTCTATGTGGGAATAATGTACCATTTATAAGTACGACTAAAAATGTCGTATACAAAGAAGTTTTCAATAATGTGTAATACAATTACAATGTTCTTCGTTTTTCAATAATTAATTCATATACTATTATAGTTTTTTTTTTATCAGTACTGTTAATCTTACTATTGTATCATATGTCCGAGCATCGCACGGATGCAACTACTAGGTTGTCAGACTTACATATGAATCCGGAGGTATAACATATTTGAGTTGTGATTAAGTGTTTCCGAGTCAAATGCGAATTATTAAAATAACATTTTGCTATTACATAGAATAAGAAGATTATACGATAATTTTAAATTATTAAGAGGCCATATTTAATGGTCGTGCATCGCACGGGAAACTTACTAGTTTTAACAAAAAATAAAATAAAAATACCTGCACAGATCTGGCGGCGGTGGAACTCGCAGAAGTAGCCGCGGCGGCGCTGAGGAGAAATGTGGCGGTGGAGATGGTGGCAGTGGCGTCGTTGGTGGCTGATGAGAGAGGCGTTGGAGTCCTTAGCTTGGTGTCGGCGGCGACGGCGTTTGATCGAGGCTGAGAGAGTCGTGGTGAGAGAGATGGTGTCATTGGCGTCATGGGAGGATGAGGGAGGTGGTGTCGACGGCGGAGGTGTGGTGAGGGCGACGTCGGAGGTGTGGTGAGGGCGACGGCGGAGGTTTGGTGAGGGCAACACGGGGGTCTGTGGTGAGGGGAGTTGAGGAGACCGGAGAGGTCTGAGAGCGAGATCTAGATTGAGGGTTTTATTTTTTATTTTTTATTTTTTTTATTAATATAACTATCCGCTGCCCTTTCTATGATAAAGGGTAGCGGAAAGTATATCCGTACTTTTATTTTTTAAAAACCGCTACCTTTTTTTCAAAAGGGTAGCGGTTTCTTGTTCATTTCTTTACAATTATGCAACAGTCCTCTTTTTTTTTTAAACAATACACTACCCTTATTTAAAGAAGGGTAGCCTAAAGTCATATTTCTTTGCTCCATTTTGTACTAGTGTAATATCGTATTTTTAGATGTTCTATCGGGCCGGGGAGGAGGGGGGAGGCTTAGGGTTGGGGTTCAACCTTTGGAAAGAAAGAATGATAACGTAATTAGAAAAAAGAATACAAATATTAATTTATAAACTGTGCAATAATGAGCAGCTCCGTGTGTGGAGACATTAAATTAACTATATGGTTATTAACTTTTCTCTTGTGGACTGCTATTTAGGATTAAATGTTTTTTTTTTTAAATTGAACTAATCTTCATTTATTATAATTACTAGCTTTTTCGCGTCCTGCGTGAATGAGGTAATGCCAATAATTGTTTTAAAATAAATATTTTAAAGTATATCAATACAATATTAAATAGGAAATGTTCACGCATAGGTACATATAGTACTTCGTATTTGATGTTATAATTTAAATAATAGTACTTTGTATCTTCAATTGCACTATATAGTCCAATTGCACTATATAGTACTCCGTACTTGCTCGATGAGACTTGTGAATCACTCAAACCAGGCATTAAGATGCTCAAGTCGAGTATAGCAATCTTAAATTTGGCTCGACTCGTGCTACTCGATTGATCGAGCAACTATACAAAATTATGTATGTAGCCAAGTACTATTGAAGGTAATAAGAAAAGTGTAGAATACATTGAAATACACTAATAAGTACATGAAACTATATATACTCTTGCAGAAAACATAGAAAACTACTCTGCATAAAATATATGAAAACCATATAGATTTAGAGAAACATATCATTATATTTTTAAGTATAGTACCAAAACATAGCGTATATTTTAGACTAGTCTTTTAGAATTGCTGTTGTTGATTAAAACTTTTTGTATTTGACATTAGCAGAAAATTCAGTAGGCAAATGTTGGCCAAGGAAATACATGCATTATTTGTCGTATTTGGTGTACAAAACAGCAGGGTTATATTCATTGCAAGTTTTTGTTAAGTATCGGACAACAAGGAGAATTCAACACAATAGTGTTAGACAGACTGGGACAGAGCCAGGATTAGATGGTGTGGGAGGTCAATTATGATTTAAAAGTAAATAGTTAAATAAATTAATATTTATTTAACATATTTCAATATATATTATTACATTACAAATCTACTAAAATCGAGTAGCAGACTAATATTTTCTTCTTAGTATTGCACTTGCTCATGATATATATATATATAT